ATATGCACAGGACTTGCACAGTGTCCAGCACAGGACCTGAAACTGTGAGTGCTCATTCTCATGCTTACTGTTGGATGCAGCATCTGCTCCAACTCTGCCCTGCAAGGCCCCACCTCTCCAGCAGCCAGCAAACAGCAACAGAGGTCCTGGCACGGGGGAGACTCAAGCTCCCAGCCCTTTACTCTAAATGAATCAGGTGAGGTAAAGGATTAGTAGGAATGGCACTTTAGCCCAATGACAGACTTGGCTTTTGGGGTCAATGATTTTGGATTTTCTATCAGAACAACATTTTGGCAGCAGACATCTGTTTAACAAACGGCATGAGATGTCACTCAGGCCTAACATCAACACCAAGAGAAAATAAGGAAAGGCTATTTTGAGCACTGAACTGAGATCAGGGATCAGAAGAGAAGCTGGTTTGGAGAGGGAGAAGTTGCAAAGGCTGAGACCTCAGGATGGAAATCAAAGGTCAGAAGGTGGTCATCCATCATAACCACCTAAACTCCTGAGAGAGAAGAGGGAGCTAGAGATTGGAGAGCCATGCTTGGGAACTGGGTGTGCAAAAGAACCTGGACAGAGGTGTGCCGAGCACTGCCCCAAAGCAGGCCAAGAACTGCCCTGAACTTCCCCACTTCTCTCACCGCCCTTGCTTTACCTTCTCATGGACTTGTTCAAACCCAAACAAAGAAAGCAAAACAAAACAAAACAAAAAAACCCAAACAAATGCACTAACCTGATTCAGTTCTCAGGCCCAGGCCTTTAGTTTTTAGTCTCGAGTGAATAAATTCTTCTTTTTCCTAAAAAAAAAAAAAAAAAAAAAAGAAAGGCTCTCAGAACTCTTTTCTTTGGCAAGAGCACAGCTCACAGCGTCCTGGAGAAGCACAGATGTGGACTTTCTGAGAAGCAGGTGACCCATCTCAAAGCTCATTTAAAACCCTCTGAATGTGGTTAAAAGTTTTGTGTTTGTAACAGGATTTGAAAAGATGTTCGATAAACTTGGGAGACACTGTTTATAAATCCACAGAATAGGTCAGGTGCAGTGGCTCACACCTGTAACGCCAGCACTTTGGGAGGACAAGGTGGGTGGATCACCTGAGATCAGCAGTTCCAGACCAGCCTGGCCAACATGGAGAAACCCCGTCTCTACTAAAAGTACAAAAATTAGCCAGGTATGATGGTGGGCACCTGTAATCCCAGCTACTCAGGAGGCTGAGGCAGGAGAACTGCTTGAACCTGGGAGGCAGAGGTTGCAGTGAGCCGATACCATGCCACTGCACTCCAGCCTCGACAACAGAGTGAGACTCTGTCTCAAAAAAAAAAAAAAATCCACAGAATAGGATAAATACACCCCACCTGACACAGCCCACTCAAATGGCAAATCAAAGTTTAAATGTGGCCGGGCGCGGTGGCTCACGCCTGGAATCCCAGCACTTTGAGAGGCCAAGGCAGGCGGATCACCTGAAGGTCAGGAGTTCAAGACCAGCCTGGCCAACGTGGTGAAACCCCATTTCTACTAAAAATACAAAAATTAGTCGGGTGTGGTGGCGAGCGTGTAATCCCAGCTACTTGGAAAGCTGAGGCAGGAGAATCATTTGAACCAGGGAGGTGGAGATTGCGGTGAGCCGAGATCACACCATTGCACTCCAGCCTGGGC